CAGGCCGCCTCGAAGCAGCGCCAGCAGCAGATGCTCCTCCAGTGCATGCCCTATCTGGCCAACTACTCCTGGAACATGGCCCTCCAGCGCCAGAAGCAGCAGCAAAGCGGCGCGGCCGCCGCGCCCGCCGCCGCGAGCGGGTCCCAGCTCACGCCCAAGCAGCAGGCCCTCCTGGGCCAGGCGGCGCAGGCCGCGCAGCAGCAGCAGGCCGCCGCCGCGGCCGCGGCCGCGCCGCCGCCGGCCGCGCCGTCGCTCACGCCGCAGCAGCGCGCGTTCCTCCAGCAGCAGCAGCTCCTCGCGCGGCAGAAGCTCCTCGCGCAGCCGCCGCCGGCGTCCTACGCGGCGGCGCCCGCGGCGGCCTACGGCAGCCAGTTCCCCTTCTCCCAGATGCAGCGCTTCGCGCCGAAAGGCGGCGCGTGGCCCGCGCCCGCGGCCGCGCCCGCCGCGCCCGCCGCGCCGGCGGCCCCGGCGGCGCCCGCCGCGCCCGCCGCGCCGGCGGCCCCGGCGGCGCCCGCCGCGCCGGCGGCCCCGGCGGCGCCCGCCGCGCCCGCCGCGACGGCGGCCCCGGCGGCGCCCGCGGCCCCGGCGGCGCCCGCGGCCGCGGCCGCGCCGGCCGCGCCGAAGCCCGCGATGACGGCGGCGCAGATGCAGCAGGCCATGGCGTCCTACATGGCGAGCAACGCGAACCAGCCCATGATGCAGATGATGGCGCAGTGCATGGCGCAGATGATGCAGCAGCGCCCCGCGGCGCCGGCGGCGCCGCCGCCGCCGCCGAACCCCTGACCTCGTCCGTCGACCCGAGGTCCTTGGGGCTGTGATGTGATACCGCGGCGACGCCGCGATGTGAAACCGCGGCGACGAGCCCGGCCTTCGAGGGCCCGGCCGTCCGCGCCGCCTCTAAGGACCTGTTTTACCAGAGCCGCGGCTTCGGCCGCCGCTCGGGGGCGACGACGTGCTCGGCCGCGCCCGCGGCGCGCAGCAGCCGCGACGTCCGGACGTCGTCCGGGAGCGCCAGCATGAGCGCGGTGCACCCGTCCGCGTCGAGCGCGTCGAGCTCGCGGACGTCGAGGTTGCACACGAGCCGCTTCACGAGCGCGAAATTGCCGCGGAGCACGGCGCGGTGGAGCGGGCTCGACCCGCGCGCGTCGGGCGAGGACGTCGCGCCGGCCTCGAAGAGCCGCTCCGCGACGTCCGCGGCGCGCGCGTCGTCGTCGTCGTCGGCCCACAGGAGCTGGCGGCCGGGCCGCGACGCGCAGACGGCGGCGAGGGGCGTCCAGCCCTTTTGGAACGTCGTCCGGTCGACCGCGGCGCCGTAGGCGAGCAAGAGGTCGACGGCGCGGACGTTGCGATCGAGCGCCGCGTAGTGCAAGGCGGACCGACCCGTCTCGAAGAAGGCGTCGCGTCGCTTCGAGCTCGTGCGTCGTCGCGTTGGGGTCCGCGCCCGACGCCAGGAGCAGCGCCGCGACGTCCGCGGCTCCCGGCAGCCGCGCGGACGCGTGGACGGCGAACATGAGGAGCGTGAACTTCGTCCGCGGGTGGACGACGAAGTTCACGTCGCCGCGGTGGTGGAGCCAGGAGCGCACGCCCTCGAGGTCCCCGCGCCGCACCTTGCTCACGATGGTGAAGCCCACGAAGTCGGAGGACATGGCCTCGAGGAGGCGGCCGGCGCTGGCGCTGAGGAGCAACCCCGAGCTCGACTTGGCCGTGAGGGCGGACATGGTTTTTTTGCCAGCAGCGCACTCGTGTCAGAGCAGCCCGGCAGCGGAGAGCGCCATCATGGAGTAATTAAAAGCAATCGTAGTTGAATATGTAATTCAAAAGCGCTTTGAATGAATTTTACGATGCTGCCCGTCTCGGGCAGCCTCGCAGCGCCGCGGTGAGACCGGCCGCCTCCGCGCAGCGCGCCGCCTCGTCGCCGCGTCGCCGGTGCCCGCCGCCGACCCATAACCGATGGCGCGCGCCCAGCGTCCCGACCCGCGCTCTCTCCGCTCGCAACGCCGCGCCGCGCGTAGGACAAGTACCACATCTTCAACGAGATCGGCGCCGGGCGCCAGTCCCAGGTCTTCAAGGGCCGCCAGAAGAAGACGGTGAACTACGTCGCCATCAAGCGCATCGAGAAGGGCCAGATGGACAAGGTCGTCAACGAGGTCCAGATGATGCACGCGCTCTCGCACCCGCACACGCTCAAGTTCTACGACTGGTGCGCAGAAAACCGCGCGGAGCGCTTCCGGAAGCCACCCGCTCTAGGTACGAGACGCGGAACAACCTCTGGCTCATCCTCGAGTACTGCTCCGGCGGGGACCTCAAGTCGCTGCTCAAGGTCGACAAGCAGCTGCCGATCCCCGCGGTGACGCTCTTCGGCGGCGACCTGCTGAGCGGGCTCCAGTACCTCCACCACAACGGGTTGCTCTACTGCGACCTGAAGCCGTCGAACGTGCTCATCGACGACCACGGCGTGCTGAAGCTCGCGGGCTTCGGCCTCGCGCGGCGCATCCCGACGCCGGGCAACCGGTGCCGCGCGCCGAAGAACCGGGGCACGCCCTACTACATGGCGCCGGAGCTCTTCGTCAAGGACGGCGTCCACAACTTCGGGTCCGACTTCTGGAGCCTGGGCTGCGTCTTGTACGAGCTCGCGTCCGGGCGGCCGCCGTTCGCGTCGACGTCGCTGAACGAGCTCATGCACCAGATCACGACCGACGACCCGGATTTGGACGCGCGCCACTTCAAATTGGACGGCGACGCGTCCCTCGGCGGGCCGTCGCGGCCGCCGCCGGAGCCCCTGTCCGCGGAGGGCTTCGCGGCCGCCGTCCGCGAGCTTTTGCAGAAGGAGCCCCGGCGCCGGCCGACCTGGGCGACGCTCCACGGCGGCGAGACCTTCTGGGCCGCCGTGCTGCCCCCGAGGCCCCAGCGGCCCCTGCCGCCCCAGCCCCTCTTCGACGCGAGCCGCGGCCGCGGCGGCGCGCGGACCGCGCCCGAGCCGGAGAAGCCCCGGGGCCCCGAGAAGCGGGGCCGGGACCAGCTCACGGCGACGCTCCCCGCCGACGCGGCCCGGGACCAGAGCCGGGAGCCGAACCCGCTGCGGCTCTCGAAGCACTACGAGCGGCACGTCCGCGCGTCCGCCGCGGGCGCGCGCAACGTCGACCCGGACGCGGACATGGACCTCAGCGAGTCGCTCACGGGCGTTTCGGCCGCGCAGCTGCCGGCCAAGCCGCGGAGCCCGCCGGACCGGGGCGGCCGCCACTGGTGGGACGACGGCGTCGGCATCGAGGCCGAGGCGCCGCTGCCCGTGCTCGACCTGCTCTTCTCGAGCAGCGACACGCAGGTCAAGCCCATCCTGGGGCCCGGCGCGCTGCGCACCGAGCCCTGCGACGCGTCCGCGCTCCCCTTCGCGCCGCGGAGCGGCGGCGAGCTCGCGGGGCTCCCGCACGACGCGCTCGAGAAGCACCTGGTTTTATGCTACAAGGCCCTCGCGGGCGACGGCGACGACGGCCACCTCCGCAACGTGCTCGCCTACCTCCAGGCGCGCTGCGAGGTCGCCCAGGTCGCCAACGTCATCGTGAACTCGTCCTTCGTGACGCTGCTGCTCACGCTGCTCCGCGCGAAGCGCGGCGCGGCCGTCCGCTACGACCTCCTCGTGCTGCTGGGCTTACTGATCCGCCACGCGACCTACGTCGTCCCCGACGGCGCCGACGACCAGTGCCTCGTGCCGACGCTCGCAAATCTCCTCCGCGACGAGGCCACGGACATCGAGCAGCGGCGGTTGGCGCTCGCGGCGCTCGCCGGGGCGGGAAAAGGGCGCCCGTTTCCCACTCGTGTTGGCTGATGTTTGGACGAGCGATCATCGCTCGGAACGGTCTCGAAGCGTGCATGCTTTTTCCGGAACGCGCGCGCGCGGAAGACTCACGTCGAAGCGATCACTCGTGTCCCGCCCAGGCGCTCGGCGAGCTGCTGTTCTACATCGCGACGCAGGACGACGAGCCGGCGGCGGACGGCGAGTCGGACCCCAACGACGAGTCGGACCGCTGGCGCGTGACGCCGAACCTGACGCTGAGCGTGCTGGACTTCGTCGGCGGCGAGGGCGACGCCGTGCTGTCGCTCTACGCGTGCAAGACGCTCGAGAACATTTTCGCGCAGGCGTCGCCGTCCTACGCGCGGAGCTTCATCTCCCTGGACCTCGTGGCGACGCTCGCGAAGCGCGCGCGGCCCGCCTTCTCGGGCGACGCGGACCCGCGCGGCGACGCGCACGCGCTCCCGCGGGCCGCGGCGGGCGCGCTGAGCCACGCGCTCCGGGACATGCTGCGCTTCTCCGTGTCCGACGACGCGAACCTGAGCGTCGAGTTCGACGCCGAGGCCTGCGTGCGCGCGCTCTGCGCGGCGCTGGACCATTTAGGCGGGCCGCGCGCGCTCGCCGCGGGCGTCGCGGCCGCGGTCGCGTCGGGCGACGCGGACGCGCGGTGGCACCTCGTCGTGCTCAACGTGCTCAACGTCGCCCTCGTGGACCGGGGCGCCGCGGAGCGGCGGTCCGGGGACCTGCGCCACGCCAAGGACGTGCTGCTGAACCACGCGCGCCTCGCGGGCGCGCTAGTGAAAGCGACGTCCGGCGGCCGGTGCCTCGCGGCCGCGGTCCGCGCCAAGGCCGCCGTCGCCCTGTTGCAGATCGGCCGCGCGCGGCTCCGGACCCTGGGCGCCGTCGTCGCCGCGCCGGCGGCGGGCGCGAAGCGCGGCGACACGAGCTCCGCGGGCCTCGTCGCCGCGCTCGAGCGCCTGGCGACGCGCGACGTCCACGACTGTGTGGAATTCAAATATTCAACCCGACTTCAATGTGCGCGTATGCGACAGTTTCGACGCAAAGCTTTCTGCCGGGCCTCGAGAACTCGACGAGAGCGATCGATCCGTCCAAAAATCAGCCGAATCGACTTCGATTTGATCGAGCTAGAGAATTCTCAAGTTTGGCCCCGACGTCCCAGCTCACTGGTTGGTTTCCACACAGGTCCACGACCTCAAGAACGACCGCTACCTGGGGTCCTGCGTCTTCGCGCTGCTGAGCTTCCTCAAGGACGCGGCCAAGGCCGTCGCGGCCCAGCTCGCGCGGAGCCTCTTCATGGACGGCGCGCCGCGGCCGCCGGAGTTGGTCGAGCGCTGCGCCAAGGACGCGACGGTCTTCCCCGGGGGCCGCGAACGGGTGATGCAACGTCGCTTCAACGCGAGCGTTCCGCGCGCGCGCGTTCCGGAACAAGCATCGGCGCTTCGAGACCGTTCCGAGACATGGTCGCTCGTCCAAAAATCAGCCGAAACGAGTGGAACACGGCCGAGAGAGGAGCCTTTCGCACCCTCGTCCCGCCCAGGTCTTCCCCGAGGGCCACGCGTGGGCGTCCCTCGACACGCTCGGGGCCGCCGCGTCGTTGCCGTTGGTGTCCGCCGCCGTCGCGAGCCCGCTCCTGCGGAGCGCCGTCGTGAGCAACGGGCTGCTGCTGGACTTGGGCCACGTGCTCCGCGCCGTCGGCGCGTGCTGCGCGGCGGACCGGAAGCTCGAACGGGCCGGCGGCCGCCGCCTGACATTGGACGGGGACCGGCCGACCTTCTTCGCGCTCTCCCGGGCGCTGCCCCACCTCCTCGACGCGCTCCTGAGCCGCGACGGCGCGCTGCTGTCGCCGTACGCGGAGACGTGCTGCGCGCGGCCCAACGGCCTCCTGCCCAACGTGCTGGGCCTCGTCGCCGCCGCGGACTCGCGGGACCTGCGGCTGGCGGCGGCGAACCTCGTGCGCCACACGCTGCCGAGCCTCCTCGCGCGCGGCGACGCGGCGGCCGCGGCGTTGCTGGCGGGGCAGCTGCCCGCGGCCGCGGCGGAGGTGCTGGGCCTCTGCGGCGGCCGCGGCGACGACCGCGCCGTCGAGGGCGAGATCCTGCTGCGCCTCCTCATCGAGACGACGTGGCCCGCGCGCGCGGCGGCCGCGCTCGAGGCCGACGACGCGCTCGCGGCCGCGCTCGCGGACTGCGCGGCGACCGCGCCCGCGGGGTCGCCCCTCGTCGCCCTCGCGGCCCAGCTCCTCAAGGTCCTCAAGCGCCGCCGCTGAGGGGCGCGGCGCGCGCGCCCCTGTCTCTGTATGTTCTCGACGCCTCGACCGAGTGTTGGCCCCGTCTTTGGCCCCGGGACGGCGGCGCTGAATTCCCCCGCCGGTCCGTGGTTTAATACTCTTGGACGTTCGAGGGCACCCCAAACTCCACCGGCTTCTTCATTCGTAAACGATTCTCCGTCGCGACGGGCACCCCGGAGTGCTCTAGTCGCGATGGGCTGCCCGTGAGCGCATCTCGCGGCGGTTTTCGAAACGAGGCGCGGCGGCGCGAGGAGTGCCGCGTTCGAACCACGCGAGCGCCATGGTCGCGCTCGGCGACGCCGACGCGCGCCTGGCGGCCCTCGAGGCGAGGATCGAGGAGCTCAGCGCCCAGTGCAGCTGGGGGCGCGAGCTCGAGGCGACGGCCGCCGACGGGGCGAACCTCGACACGATCTGGCTCATCGTCGGCGCCATCGGCGTCTTCTCCATGCAGAGCGGCTTCGCCATGTTGGAGGTCGGCACGTGCGCGTCGGACCACACGAAGGAAATTTTACTAAAAAACATCGTCGACATCGCCATCGGGACCATCTCCTGGTGGGCGCTGGGCTACGCCCTCGCCACGGGCGCCGACGCCTTCTCGGACACGGGCAGGAACGGCGTCGTCGGCACGTCGGGCTTCTTCTACCTGGGAAACCGCGACACGACGTACGACGGCAAGCTCGCGGACCAGGCGTCCTGGTTCTTCGCGCTCTCCTTCGCGAACACGTCGGCGACGATCGTGTCCGGGGCCATCGCCGAGCGGTGCAAGCTGTCGGCCTACTTCCTCATCTCCTGCGCGGTCACCTCTTTGATCTACCCCGTCGCGGCGCACGTCGCCTGGGACGACAACGGCCGCATGTCGCCCTACCGGGAGAAGCGGTTGGCCTTCGGGTGCGGTCTGATCGACTTCGCCGGCAGCGGCGTGGTCCACATGACGGGCGGGCTGTCCGCGCTCGTCGCGGCGTACTTCATCGGCGCGCGCAACGGCCGCTACACGTCCATGGGCAACCCCGTGCCCATGCGGCAGCAGTCCGTCGTGCTCCAGACGTTGGGCACGCTGACCTTGTGGATCGGGTGGTTCTACTTCAACGCCGTGTCGACGCTGTCTTCGGACCGCGCGGGGCTCGCCGCGCACTGCTGCTTCAACACGATCCTGGCGGGGGCCGCGTCGGCGCTCACGACCGTGGTCTGCGCCAACTACGCCCAGGGCTACGTGGACCCGTCCGTGTGCTGCAACGGCATCCTCTCCGGGCTCGTGGCCATCACAGCCGGTTGCGCGACGTCGAACGCCGCGGGCGCGTTCATCACGGGCGTCGTCGCGGGGCCCTTGTACCTGGCGTCGGTGTTCGTGGTCGAGTCCGTGCTCAAGGTCGACGACGTCTGCAACGCCGTGTCCGTGCATTTCACCAACGGCGCCTGGGGGCTGTTGGCCGCGTCGCTCTTCGCGACGCCCTGGTACTACGACGCGGCCTTCGCCACGGACCGCGGCGAGCGCTGCGCGGGCGTCTTCTACGGCGGCACGGGCTCCTCGCTCGTGTCGGCTTTGGTCTTCGCCGCGCTCAACTCGCTCTGGGTTCTAGGCCCCATGATCGCGTTGATGTACGTCACGGCGCGGACCATCGGCGCGCGCCAGGAGCACTCCTGCGACATCGACTGCGAGATGGACGGCTCGAAGCACGGCATCCTCAACCTGCTCCCGCCGGGCACGCTCGACCTCACCGAGGCCGCCGCGGACGCCGCGGACGCGCGGGATTTGCGCGACCTCGGCCGCGCGCGCCCGGGCGACGTCGAGCTCGCGCCGTCGCTCCGGGGCGAGGAGAAGGACGACCCCGTCGAGCTCACGGACCAGCCGGCAAACCTCGAGCTCCCGCCGCGCGCCGCGTGAGCCGCGGGGCGGGCGCGGCTCACCGGGAGCGCGCCGGACCCCCGAGGCAATTCGACCACCCCGAGCCCGCCCGCGGCGCCCGAAAGCGGCGGCCGCCCGGAGCCGAGGGATCGAGCGAGCGCCGCCGCCCCACCCCCCGCGTTGGCTCGTCCCTGCAGCTCCAGCTAATTCCGTTCTTCTTCAACAACGTTCTCCGCCGGGGCAGCGACGACGATGGCTCTACCTGAGATGCCATTCCTGCCGAGATGACATTCCTGGAGCGGCTGGGCGCGGCGCGCGACGCGCGCGAGCGCGACTACGTCGAACTGAAGCGCGGCGAGTCCAAGGGCGGCGCCGCCTCGGATACGGTCACGGAGCTGCTCGAGTACTTGGAACACCTCGACGACGCGGGCTGGGCCGAGGTCCGGGCCATCGAGGCGCGCGCGCTCGACGTGTTCTCCGGGCTCGCGCGCCCCGCCGAGGAGTTCGAGCACGACCAGCACGAGCTCTGGGCCGAGTTCGTCGCGTCGCTCGAGCGGGCCCTCGTCGCGTTCGCGGAGCGGCGCGGCCGCTCCGCGGCGTCGCTGCTCGCGGACGTGCGCGCGGCGCACGCGCGCGGCGACGCCGACGCCCTCGTCGCGGCCGTCGCCGAGGCGACGGACTTCGAGGCCTGGGCCAGGGACATGCGGCGCTGCGCGGCGCTCCGGACCTACGCGGTCCCCGGGTCTTCCTCCGCGCACTGGGGCCCCGAGCGGGGCTTCGCGAACCTGCGGCGGCGGTCGCGGTCCTTCTCCGACGACGACTAAGACGGGCCGCGTTTTTTTCTGGTGTTAGTTCGGGGGAGCTAAGAGGTCGGGCGGGGGCGGGCGACCCTGTCCGGTCGCGGCCGCCTATGACCGGATGGGCTGGGTGTTCATGATGTTGAAGGAGGGCGGTGAGCGCTCCGATTCGCCGCCGACGGAGTCGTAGGGCACGGCCCGGTACATGCCCGACGGGAAGTCGTCCCAGACCTTGCGGGGGATCTTGATCGTCCCCGTGAGGCGCCGGTCCTTGTCGACCTCGAAGACCCAGCCCCAGTGCGAGTACTCCGTGCCCACGTCCACGGTCGTGAAGGCGACGTAGTAGCGGTCGTTGACGAAGCGCACGGAGCCGCCGTCGGAGACGTAGAGGTCGTTCTTCTTGATGTCCGCTAACGTGATGTTCGGCCCGGGCTGCTCGCTGTACTCGTAGTGCCACAGCAGCTTCACGGTGCCCGTCTCGAAGTCGAGCTTGTAGTGGACGGCGCGCGTGAAGCAGTTGTCGTCGTAGGGCTTGGCGCAGCCCGGCCGGTTGTTGCCGTCGTCTAATAATATGAGCTCGTCGTGGCTGATGAGCTGCGCGTCGTGCGGGTCGTAGAACTTGTCGTGCTCGTGGAGCCAGGTGAAGTTCGAGTTCATCTGGGCGTTGGACGACAGGACCCACTCGACCTCCTTCGTGTTTTTGTTGATGGCCGCGACCGCGTCGAGATTCCGTAAGGCGACGACGTAGACGTCCGCGTGCTCCGAGATCGACGACGGGTGCATCCAGTCGAGGACGTTCGCCTCCTCCTCGGCGGCGTCGGAGCAGATCACGGTCTCCAGCGTCATGGAGTTGTGCCTCCGGATGTTGACGGTCTGCGGGTCCCAGAAGTCGTTCAGGTCCACCAAAGGCGTCAACACGGACGTCTCCTTGTCCCAGAAGGCGATCGTGTCGCCGATGAACGACGTGATGTTGCTGTCGGACACGTAGTTCAAAGTCTTGCCGTCGTCCGTGAGGCGCACGACCTCCAGGAGCGTGAGCACGCCCGTGCCGTCGTGCGTGACCCGGGCTTCGTGGTTCACCTGCTGGAAGTTCTCGCCCGCGCCCTGGCACTCGATGACCAGATCCGACCCCATGGACTCGCCCTCGGCGGAGACCATGCCCAGGCCCGAGAACATGTCGTCGGGGAAGTAGTTGTAGACCATCGTGTAGTCGTCGTACTGGTCGAACGCCAAGACCTGCCCCCCCGCGGAGTGGTACCAGACGACGTAGCCCTGGCCGTCGATGCCCACGAGGCCCTGGAACTCCTCCGTCTCCGCGGCGAAGTAGATGATGCTGTAGGCCGGCGTCTCCGTCTTGGAGACCTCCGCGAGGTTCGAGTCGTCGATCCACGAGATGCCGCTCTTCGCGGTCGTGAAGTAGCCGTGGGCCAGCACCGACGCCTGGTCGTTGGGGCTCGCGTCGTCGCTCAGGCCGTACACGGAGAAGGTGTAGCGCGTGTTCGCGCGCAGGCGGTAGAGCGGCACGTCCCACGCGTTCTCGACGGAGTCGAAGTGCTGCGTCGGCGACCAGATCCGCGCCGCGTGGCTCACGTTGAACTCGGGCCGGTAGGCCACGGAGATCGTCAAACCGCTCGACGACGTCGACGCCACGCGCATGTGCAGCTCGCAGAAGGACGCCATCTTCACGGAGCACTCCGTCGGCATGAGCGTGACCGTGTACTCGTCGGAGAGCGAGTCGCCGTTCGAGTCGACGTCGGGCGACGAGCTCGCGTCGTCCGTGGGCGCGCCCTCGTTGACGTCGTCGCTCGGGTTGTCCACGGGCGGCGGGTCCTCGCCGGACTCCTCGCCGACGCTCGTCCGTCCCGACGCGTCGCTGCCGACGCGGCCCGCTTTTGTGCCGCCCGACTTGCCCGACGCGCGCGCGCCCGACGCGTCGTCGTCGTCGGCACCGGCGCGCGACGACTTGGACCCCTTGGACGACGAGGCGCCCTTGGACGCCGCCGCGCCGTCGTCGTCGTCGCCGCGCGCGGAGCTCTCGCTCTGGCCACGACTCCGCGACGTCGACGACAGGACCTGGCCCGCGGACGGCGCGGCGGGGAAGCGCACGGCGCTGCCGTAGCCGATGACGCTCATGGTCCCGACGAGGGCCAGGAGCATGACGAGGTGGTGCGCCCGGCCCGTCCTCCGAGGCAGCCACTGGCGCGCCTCGACCTCCCGCGGCGGCGGCTCGGGCTTGCTCGCCTCGCCGCTCGAGCAGCACGCCCCGCCGTAGTTCGGCGCCATCGCGGAACCCGGGGCCGCGACCCCGCGGCACGACGACGCAGACCGCCGCTCGCGTGCCGGGGCTGCCTCCGTCTCCGTGCGACGCCCAAATCACTAAGGCAGCCAAAATGAAGGATACTTGTATCGGCTCTTTCAGCGCGGCCGAAAGAGCCTCGCTTGCACCCGAGGCCGTCGGCGGCGCCTCGCCTCGCCACCGCGCGACGCGACGCGCCCGACGCGCCGGCGACCCGCCGCGCGCCCCGCCGGCGAAGGAAGCGTATCGTCGTAAGAACACCGCGACGAAGGAAAGATGAACGCTCCGGAGCGGCACAAGAAGTACCAGCTCGACGACGACGAGAAGCGCATGACCTACAAGAACGACGAGAAGATCCCCAACGCTGGGACGTTCACGATCAACAAGGAGGACCACACCGTGGGCAACCTGCTGCGCATGCAGATCCTGCGGAGCCCGGACACGAAGTTCGCGGGGTACCAGCTGCCGCACCCGTTGATGAACGAGTGCCGCGTGAAGATCCAGACGACGTCGGCGAACCTGACGCCCATCGGCGCCTTCCAGCGCGCCATCGAGGACCTCCAGTCCGAGATGGACATCCTCGACCGCAACTTCCGGGAACAGGTCGCGAAGAAGAAGGCGGAGTCGGGCTAACAGCTTCGAGTTCCTTACGCCATGGCCTGGGCGAGGACCGTCATGTCCAGGAGGGGGCGGGGGGCGTCGTCGAGCGGCGCGCCGGCGGCGCCCGCGGCGATGTAGCGGTGCATGATCTCGTCGACGGAGTCGTCGTCCGCGAAGTCGTCCGCGTCCGGGCACACGATCCGCGGCACGTCGTCGAGGTCGCCGATGGTCGACGCCGGCAGGCCCCGGGCCATGGGGCTCGCCGCGTCGAGCGCCGGCGCGCCGGCGACGTCCGACACGTCGGGCAGCTTGAGCGCGCGCGCGACCGCGACGCTCTCGTCGTCGTCGTCGTCGTCGTCGTCGTCGTCGTCGTCGCGGCCGTCGTCGTCGTCGTCGGCGGACGCGCGCGGCGCGTCGTCGTCGTCGTCGTAGGAGTCGTCGTAGGAGTCCGACGGCGCGCAGTCGCCGTCCGACGCGGACGACGCGGACGCCGGCGGCACGCCGAGGACCTCGCTGCCCTCGTAGGGCGACGGCACGGGCGCCACGGGCGCGGGCGCCTCGGCCCGGGGCGGCGACGGCGGCGCGGCGACCTTCGGCGGCGACGGCGGCGCGGCGACCTTCGGCGGCGACGGCGGCGCGGCGACCTTCGGCGGCGGCGCGATGTCCTTCTCCGCGTCGCCCGCCCGCTCGTAGGCCGCGAGGCGCCGCTCGAGCGCGCGGACGCGCTCCCGCGCGTCGCGCAGGGCCGTCGCCGTCGCCGTCGTCGCGTCGTCGATGAGCGTCGTGGAACCGGACCGGTCGTCGTCCGACTCCTCGGCGACGGGCGGCGGCGGCGCGGCGGCCCGCGGCGGCGGCCGCGGCGCGAGGGGCCGGCCCGTGCGCGGCGACGCGACGCGGTCCGCGAAGGGCGCGTAGAGGAGCGCCGCCGGCGGCCCCGCGGCATTCACTTCTCTCCCGAGGTCCGCCTCGAAATCCAACAGCGCGACGCCGCCCGCGTCGCGGCCCGCGCACTCGTAGAAGTGGGGGGACGCGCGCGCGCCGCGGGCCGGCGCGACGAAGACGGCGACGAGGCACGTGTCCGCCTCCACGGCGACGTCCTTGGCGGCGCCCCGGTTGAGGTAGTCGCGCGCGGCCGCGAGCACCGCGAGGTCCCGCGCGGCGTCGTCGGGGCGCTCGGAGACGAAGCCCGCGACCCAGACGCCGACGAGGGGCGCGGCGCCGACGAGGGGGTCGCTCGGCAGGAGGAAGACGCAGCGCCGCGCCCCGTCGAGCGTGAGGAATCCGGACCGCGCCGCCGCGTCCCCGCCGGGCGCCCGCGGGAGCGACGCGCCGTTGTGGCTCGCGAGGGCCGCGTCGAGGGCCGTGTTGAGGCGGGGCAGGGGCGTCGCGAGGGGGCAGAGCTTGAGCGTGACGTCGGGCACGCGGCACTCGAGGCGGAGCCGGCAGCCGCCGCTCGTCGGCCAGCACGCGCCCGCGACGGAGAACAGACCCCCCCCGGGGCCGTGCGCGGGCGCGCGCCGCCCCGGCGCGCAGACCACGTCGACGTCGACGCTCGGGCAGCCGCGGCGCGCCCTGTCCACGGCCGCGCACGCGTCCTCGTCGCCGAAGACGACCGCGCGCCGCGCCGCGCCCGCCGCGACGCGCGGCGGCGCGCGGCCGCAGTCCACGGCCCCGTCCACGGCGGACCGCGGCGCCGCGAGGCCGCCGAGCCGCAGGGTCCGCGCCGCGCCGCTGCGGCCCGCGGCGGCCGCGGCCGTCGCGACGCGCGCCGCGCACGCTCGCGTGACGACGGCCCACGGCGCCGCCGCGGCGAAGGACGCGAAGGCGTAGCCGCGGTTCGCGCGGTCCCAGAGCACGGCCCGCGTGCTCGGGAACGTCACGGCGCCGAAGGCGAGCGGCGCGGGGAAGGCCCGCGGGCTCGGCCGCGGCGACTGAGCGGGAGCGGGCGGCGGCGTGTAGCGCGGCTCCGGCACCGGCGTGAACGACGCCGCGCGCTCGTCGTCGTCGCTGTCCGCGCTGAAGTAGCCCCCGAAGTCGGCCATGGCTGCCGAGGTTTCGTGTCGCTGCTGAGGTTTCGTGTCGCGCGCGAAAAACTTAGCACATCGTGAGAGCTTCAAATCTCGAGCTCTCGCAAAACTGGCTAAAATCAACTTTTTGCAGGGTCGGCGCACGCCATCCCCGCCGATTTCGTCCTGGTTTCGCCGCGCGTATCGCTCGTCCGGATGATCGCCCCGAGCCCGAAACGTCTAGCTTCTTAAAAAAGCCATCGGGAGGACGAGCTACACCACCCTGAACGTCGTGTTTTGGCCGATTTCGGGGCTTCGCTGCTGGTGTCTGTGGACATCGTCTTCCGGGCATCGAGAGAGCGGCTCCCCTCGTCGGCCTCGTCGGCGGAGCAGAAGCGGCGCGGGCGGCGTCGCGACGCGGCGCGGAGCCGCAGCACTCGTCAGCACTCGTCGGCCGAGCCCTCGCCCCCCCCGCGCCATGTACAAGGCAATCTTCGGCTCGAGCGGCAAGTCCAAGGGCGACACGCCGTCGAAGCAGCACGGCTACGGCCACCGCACGTCGGCGCCCGCCGTGCTCACGAAGCCGGGCACGCCGCTGGGCGCCGACAACCCGGCCATCGGCGTCGGCGCGATTTTGGACTACCTGGAGCGGCGCAAGGGCTCGTCGGACGCCGTGCAGGGCGACCCGAGCAAGGTGCCGCTGCACGTCGTCGAGGCCCTGGGCGACGGCTGGGAGATGCGCGGCGGCCTGGGCGCCGGCGCCTACGCCAAGGTCTTCGAGGCGTCCTGGGTCGGGCTCGACAAGCGGCCCCGGGGCCCCGCGCGCGCGGACCGGCCGCCGGAGGTGCCGTGCGCCATCAAGGTCATGCGCGACGTCGACATGGAGAGCTGGGAGATCTCGCGGCGCTTCGTGCGCGAGCTATTAATCCTGCGGCGGCTCCGGGAGGCGTCGGGCATCGTGACGCTCTACGGGTGCTCGACGCCGCGGGGCAACAGCCAGCGGCACCGGCGGGACCTGTACCTCTGGTTCGAGGCGTGCGCGGTCGACTTCCGGCAGCTGACGAAGATGGAGTGCTACCTCAACTTCGACGACGCGAAGCGGCTGACGCGCCAGATGTTCGGCGCGCTGCGCCACATCCACGACAAGGACGTGATCCACCGCGACATCAAGCCCGCGAATTTATTGCTGCACGGCTCGGGGTCGCTGAAGATCTGCGACTTCGGCCTCGCGCGCATCGCGCCGCGGGAGCCCCTGTCGCCGCTGCCGGACACGAAGGATTTGAACGTGTCGCTGACGGCGTCGCGGCGCCGGTCGGTCCACCCGGACGACGACGAGAAGGCCCACTTCGCGGCGCAGGCGGAGCTCAAGAAGGGGTTCTCCCGCGACGAGTCGATCGACGAGGGCAAGTCCGCGGAGGGCAAGTCCATCGACGACGACGACGACATGCCCAAGCTCGAGCTCGGCGACGGCGACGCCATGGACGACGACGACGGCGGCTACGCGGAGCACGGCACCGACGAGCCGCTGGGCCGGCCGGCGATGCGGCGGACGTACACGGAGCACGTCGTCACGCGGTGGTGCCGGTCGGGGCCGCGATGCAACGTCGCTTCAACGTGGGGTCGTCCGCGCGCGCGCGTTCCGGAGACCGGGTCCACGCGTCGAGAGCGCTCCGAGCGATGATCGCCCGTCCAAACATGAGCCGAATCGAGCGGGAAACGGCCGAGGAGGAAGTTCGCACGCGCTTCCCGCCCAGGTACCGGTCGCCCGAGCTCGTGCTGCTGCAGCCCTACGATTTTTCCGTCGACGTCTGGGCCTGCGCCTGCGTCTTCGCCGAGTGCTTCCTGGGCACGTGCAAGGAGGTCTGCGAGTTCCGCGAGGGCCGGCGGCCGCTGTTTCCGGGGCGGTCGTGCTTCCCGCTGTCGCCGGCCGCGGGCGCGCGCGGCGGCTGGCACCAGAAGAACGACCAGCTCCAGGCCATCTTCCGCGTGCGGGGCACGCCGTCGTCCGCCGAGGTCGACGCGCTCGAGCACGACTACAAGGGCATGAAGGCCTACCTCCGGCGGCTCCAGCCGCGCGCGCCGTCGGACCTCGCGCGCGTCGTGCCCAACGTCGACCCGTCGGCGCTGGACCTGCTCGACAAGATGCTGAAATTCCTCCCGGAGGACCGGCTGAGCGTCGAGGACATCCTCGACCACGAGTACCTCGCCTACGCGCCGGGCGAGCCGCGCGACGACACGCCCGTGTCGCCCGACGGGCCCGCGTACCACCTCCGGCCGTCGACGACGGCCGTCGGCCCGGCCCTGAGCCAGGTCGAGGACGACGACGCCTGGGAGAACGTCGCGCAGCACAAGGCCGACAAGGACATGTCCGACGTGCTCTGGAAGCTCGTCGAGAAGTTCCCCTCGGAGCTCGCGCCCCGCGGCGGCGTCCTCGGCCACGAGGACGCGCGGCCCTCGAAGCTCTCCGAGTCCGCGGACGACGAGCCGGCCAACGCGAAGACCCTCGGCAAGAAGAAGTCCACGGACGCCCGCATGTCCGCGACGCTCCGCTCCTGGCTCACGCACTCCTCGTCCATCTAGCCGGACCCCCCAGTTTTGCCCGCCCAGCCGCCGCGGCGCGCGGGCCGCCCCCAGGGGAACCACCCCCCGTTACTCATCCCCGCCGCTCCGGAGTAGACCTTACGCCTAGAGGCCCGACGTCGGCCACGTGTACGTGCAGTCGTCGTGCTGTTCGACCTCCGTGTACTTGCCGTAGTCGAGGACGCCGGCCTTGCGCATCTTCTTCTTGATCATCCTGTAGAAGCCGTCGTCGGCGTCGGGCGAATCCTTGAGGATGTAGGCGATGCCCTTCTCCGTCACGTCGACGGCGGGGCCGCACGAGTACCAGCCCAGCCAGTTCGAGCCCTTGTACGTGCCCGTCAAAAAGATCGACGACCACGAGTCGCCGCGCGTCTTCTTCCACTTGCCGCTCCGGGCGCCGACCTGCTTCTCCGTGATATTGAACCAATAATCCTCGCCGTCCGCGAACCACTCCGAGCCGTCGTCCCCGTCGCCGACGTAAAGCATCTCCTGGTGGAACATTTTCTTGTGGACCCTGAAGAGCATGCGCGCGCAGTTGTAGGAGCCGGCTTCGACGTTTTGGGCGAGCAGGTACCAGTCAACGTCGTTCACTTCGAAGTTCCCGTTCGCAAAGGCCGCGCTGATGCCTACGGCGCGCGACGATAATTGAAAAACCTCTCGAAGGTCGTCATGACCGCAGGACGCTAAAACATCTCTCGAAGGTCGTCGTGACCGCAGGACGCTGGGCTGATGCCGGGATCGCCATTCTTGCAGCTGTATAAATTACTCAAGTTCGTCGTCGTCGTGGAAAAGTCCCTCCTCCGAGTCGTCAGCGCGAACACGCCGGCGACGGCAAGAGCCGCGGCACAAAAGGGGACGAGGGCGCGTCGTCGGACGATCGGCGCGTCGGCCATGCTCTCTGCGCCGCGCCGACGAGCTTCCACCGCTGAAGGCGGGCTGCCCCGAGTCGTGACCGGGGGCAAAAAAGGCATGGTGTCGTTCACTTACAGAGCCCGGTCGGGGCAGCATGGGCCGCCTGGGCCTCGCGCTGCTGCTCGCGCCGGCTCTGCGCGCCGCCGACGACCGCACCTGCGCCGACGACCACGAGAACTGCGAGTTCTGGGCGTCGCAGGGCGAGTGCTTCGACAACCCGTCCTACATGAGGACGCACTGCGCCCTGTCCTGCGAGTCCTGCGCGCCGGACGGCGCCGGCGCCGGCGACGCGCCGGCGTGGACCGGCGGCTGCTTCGACCGCGACGCCCTCTGCGGCGACTGGGCCGCGGCGCGCGAGTGCGACGTGAACCCGGGCTGGATGCTCGAGAACTGCGCGGCGTCGTGCGGCGCGTGCGAGCGGCCCGGCGGCGCCGCGCGCGCGCGCGCGCGCGAGGGCTGCGCCGCGGCGCTCGCGGCGGCGCGGGCGCTGCGGCCCCTGGGCCCCGGCGACGCGCGCCGGACGCTCGACCGCGCCCTCGCGACCGGCGGCGCCGTCGAGCTCCACGGCGACCCCCGCGTCGTGTACCTGCCGGCCTTCGCCCATCCGCGCGAGGCCGACGAACTCATCGCGCGGGCCCTCGACGCCACGGCGGGCTGGGAGCGGTCCATGGACGCCGGGAGCCACATCCTCGAGGACGGCACGTACTCGCGCGTCGTGTCGCGATGGCGCACCTCCGACAACGCGTGGTGCACGACGAAGCGGTGCCTCGGCGACGCGACGGTCGTCAACGTGACGCGGCGCGCCGCGGACTTGTTGGGGACGACGCCGGACCACGCCGAGCCGCTCCAGCTCCTGCGCTACGGCCCGGGCGACCGCTACCGCGTCCACGGCGACTGCCTCCCGGAGCAGGTCCACATGCCCTGCGGCCTCCGGGCCTTCACGCTCCTGCTCTACCTCAACGACGTCGCCGCGGGCGGCGAGACCGTCTTCACGAAGCTCGCCAACGTGTCCGTGGCGCCGCGCAAGGGCGCCGCGGTCCTCTGGGCCAACGTCGACGACCGCGACGACCCGCTCGCGACCTGCGACGACCGCACCTTCCACGAGGCGCGGCCCATCGACGCGGGCGTCAAGCAGGCCGCGAACATCTGGTTCCACACCCACGACTTCAGGACGCCCTACCGCCTCGGCTGCACGGGCTAAGTTTTGGCCACGCGAGCGGCCGCCGCTCCCGTCGAGCGCGCGACGGGCGCGCCGCGTCCGGTAGCGTCGCGAGCGCAGTCAGAAAGGCCACGTCCGGCGGTCGACGCGCCCCGGAGCGAGCGCGATCAGAAGCTCGCGATTACGAAAGACGAAGTCGCTCACGGCTTGGTCCACTTGAACTGGAGCTCGACGCAGTGCTCGTCGCCCTCCTGCTCGTGCTCGACGGACACCTCGGCCGTCTCCGGGACCGTGAGCCGCACGTTGTCGACCTGGATTCGGAAGCTCTTGTCGGCTTCGACGGCGTCGGCAATTCGTCGGAGCAGCGCGACGAATTCCTTTTCTGTCTTCTTGACTTCGACGTCGCGCTCGTCGCTGCTGAAGAGCCGCTGCAGCGGCCGCGCCCGCTGCACCGGCGCGGCGGCGGTTGGGCGCAGCGCGGCGGCGCGGCCGAGCCTTGCAAATCTCATGGCCATCGTGAGATGCGCCTCGAGCCCAAGCTGAAATTGAACTCGTTGCAGAAGCTCCGATCCGCCGCCGTGATTTCCCGACGGCCAAAAGAGTGGCACAGCCTCTCCAGGATGGCAGCACACAATTCCAAAGCAACCCTCACCGGGACCCAGCAACACAACACAACAACAACACAACAACACCACAATGCAATACATCGCGCTCCTCCTCCTCGCCGCCTGCGCCAACGCGGACGATAACACACGACGCTGCCCACGACGCTGCCCACGACGCTTCCCACCACGACGCCGACCTATGCGCCTTCGCAGCTGCCCTCGCCGCGCCCTACGACGCTGCCCTCGGCTGCACCGAGCTACAAGCCCTCCCCGTCGCCCACGACTCGCCAGCCATCCGGGCTCCCGTCGCCCATGCCTTCGCCGATGCCTTCGGCCCTGCCGATTCCGTCGCCCACGACGTCGCCCACGGTGTCTCCCACGACGTCCCCGACGGAGTCGCCCACGACCGCACCCACGACCACGCCCACGACCGCGCCCACGAGCGCGTCCAACCCGACGCCGAAGCCGACGCCCGCGCCCACCTCGAGCTGCGCCGACAGCGCGTCGTGGTTCTCGAAGAAGAGCAAGAACGACTGCGCCTGGGTCGCCGAGGACGCCGAAAGCCGCTGCAGCAAGAAAGACGACGACGACGTGAAAGCCAAGAGCGCCTGCCCGCGGGCCTGCGGCAAGTGCGACGACGACGCCGAGGAGGAGGACGAGGCCGAGCCCGCGTGCGAGGACGATTCCACCTGGTTCTCGAAGAAGAGCAGTAACAACTGCCGGTGGGTCGCCGAGAAGCCCGACTCGCGCTGTAGCAAGAAGAACGACGACGACGTCAAAGCGAAGAGCGCCTGTTTTGTGGCCTGCGGCGTCTGCGAGGCCCCCGAGGCCGCGTGCGCCGACTCGACGTCGTGGTACTACAAGAAGGCCGACCGCGACTGCTCCTGGATCGCGGACAAGCCCAAGCGCTGCGACAAGGCCGACGAGTACGGCGTCGACGCGTCCGTCGCCTGCGCGCTGACCTGCGACGCCTGCGACGCCGACGCGGCGCCGACGCCCGCGCCGACGCCCGAGCCGACGGCCGCGCCGACGCCCGCGCCGACGACCGCGCCGACGGCGACCCGCTGCGAGGACGATGACGACTGGCTCTACGACGGCAAGGACGGCCGCGGCTGCGCGTGGATCGCCGAGAAGACGTCCCGCTGCGACGGCAAGGACGGAGCGCGCGAGGCCTGCCCCTTGTCCTGCGGCGCGTGCGAACCCGCGTGCGAGGACTCGAAGAGCTGGTTCTCGAAGAAGGAAAGCAACAACTGCGAGTGGGTCGCCGAGAAGCCCGACTCAAGGTGCTCCAAAAAGAGCGACGACAAGGCCAAAGCAAAGGACGTCTGCCAGCTGGCCTGCGGCACCTGCGGCGACGAGGACCGCCGCCTCTCGCGCCTCCGCGGCGCGGCCAACTAGGCCGCGAGGACCGCCGCCTCTCGCGCCTCCGCGGCGCGGCCAACTAGGCCACCAACCCACCACGAAGCCTCCCAGCCCAAGCATCATGATGCCCAAATCCAAAGCCCAGCCTCCAACCCCACCCTTCCCTACCTCCGCCTACTAGTACCTCCGCCCTGACCTGAGTAGACCACGCCCCTCCCCTGCGGAGAGACTCCTGGTCCGCCGGGGGGAAGCTATGACCTCAGGCGGGGGTAAGGGAGCGGCATGGTCTACTCATGCCAGACCTCCGCCCTTTTGTAAATTCAACCCGTTGCCTTGAAGTTCATATTGAAGAGGCGGATTTAGTCCCCGAGCACGAGGGGCTCGCGCGGCGCCGCAGGCGATACCGCGCCTTCCCGGAACGCGACGACGCGCCGGACCCAGACGTCTCTTGCAAGCTCCGCGTAGTCGTAGGTCGCGGCGCGCGCGCGCGCCTTCGTCCAGAGCTGGCGGAGCCGCGGCGCGCGCGCGTCGCGCCAGTCGCGGACGAAGACGATTGGAAACGGATGGAGCAGCTCCACGAGCGTCGGTTCGTATTCGATCAGCGGAATCGCGCCAAACAAGAGCGCCTCGTAGTGGCGGTGGCAGTCGAGGCCCGAGCCGATCGGCGAGTAGACGAATTTGGCTCTCCGTAGCGACGCGTGGTACTCCAGAAAGTCGCTCGGGTGGAGCTTGAGCTTGCCCGAGCGGTTGTTGGACTTTGTAGCGTGCGCGCCGCCTCCGACGATGGGGAAGACGTTGTCCAGGTCGAAGCCGCCGTGGCCGCCGTCTTTGGACTCTTTCCGCGACGACGGCCGGAGTGCGTTCTGTAGAGCCGCGAACCCAGATTTCCTTCCAACACTATGGAGGCTCACGTGCGACGCGACGAGCTCCGTTCGATTGGACGGCAGCGCGACGATTTTGGACCAGTCCGCCGGCGCGAGGCCGGGAAGGTCTTTGTGCGTGTAGCCGTGCAGGCCCAAAGGGATCTGGACGAACTTGCGGAGGTGGGCCCGCGTCGCCTTCTCCAAATCGCCCGCCGGCGGCCAGTGCTGCGCCACGAACCACGTCTCGAGCTTCGGAGACGCCAGCAACTTCGCCAGTCGGTGAAGACACGTCCGGTCCAACGTCGCGAGGATGTGGGGGTGGAACGGCGATCCCGCCGCCGCCGTGCCCAGCGACGCGAGCGCGTAGGCTTGCACGTGAGACGCTTTTTCTAGAAGCCGCGCGCCGCCCCCGTCGGGATCGGCGAACGCGCACAGCGCGGACGCGTTGTGCTTGTCCGCGCGCAGACCGATGATCGGCCGCCGCGGCAGCGCGGCGACGTCGAGGCGTCGCGCCTTTTCGACCTGGTCGGACACGACGACGACGTCCAGGTGCGTTTCGAGCCAACCGTCGAAGCGCGAGTGCACGACGGAGTCCGCCGGCCGCGCGCCGACGGCCGTCCGCGCGAGCTCCCAGAAGACGTCGTCGCTCGTGTGCGCCGCGGCGAGCGCCGCGACGGTGATGGCAAGTCGCATCTTTTAGCTTGCACAGGACCACCCGGGGGCAGCGGCGCAGTGCGCAGCGTCCAGCTCGTGTCCAGAGCCGCTTGGATGGACTTCAACACATCCGTTATTATAACTCGGGTTGAAGGGAAGGCGATGTATTACCCATGCCATCACGGGGCGGTCGTGAGCGTCGCGTTCTTCGCGGGAGCCGCCTGCTTCGTTTCGCCGAGGAACGTCCCGTCGCAGCGCAGGTAGCACGCCCAGAGCTTCGAGTCGCCTTCGAAGAAGCACGCGAGGGGCCGAGCGCGCCGCGCGTCGCCCGCGGGGACGACGCCGCCCGGCCACGCGGGGGGCGCCGCGTCGAAGATCGAAGGCCCGTCGCCGAGGCAGGCGGCTCGGACCATCGCCCGGGGCGCGCGCGGGCTGACGTCGTAGCCGTAGCCTATGGCGAGGGCCTGTGCGAGGACCGCGTACGGCGCGTCGAGGCGGAGGAGGGCCGGCCACGTGACGGCGTCGTCGCCGGCCTCGGGCTTGCGGGTGTGGGCCGAGTTCGCGTTCGTGACTGTCGCCCGGGCCGCGGCCGCGTCGCTCAGCGTGACGCGCGAGCCGTCGGCGCGGGTCAGGTTGGCCAACGCAGCGAGTCGGAGGACCGCCTCGGCGCCGAGGTCCTCGGTACGGATCGTCGCGTCGGCGGTCGCGTCGACAAAGGCGTTGACCAAGACCCAGTGGCGCAGGCAGTCGACGAGCCAATTGTACGAGTCGCGCTCGCCGTGTCCCATCGTCCGGTCCTTCTTCTCTCCGACGGCAATTCGCAGCGCCGGGTGGCGCGTGTCCCACGCGGGCGTCTCCGCGACCGTGTGGCAGCGCATGAGCCGGTTCACCGCCCCCTTTCTACGGCCCCGGTCCCAGCGCGACGCGACCTGCGCGAGCGGAGCCCGCACGAGCAGCGCGAGCGCGTCGAAACGGCCGTTGAAGGACCATCCGAACGGCGCTCTGCACCTCGCGTCCCCGACGCGGCCCGGAGCAAACGACGCGCCCCAGGATACGGCCCCGTCGGCTAGCAACTTGTGCCGTCCGTCGTGCCCGATCCGTAGACCCATCGCGGTCAGCGATAGATGCAGGGACAGCGTCCCGGACCGGCCGACGCCCGTCGCGAGGAGCCTCTTCCGCGTGCCGTTGCCCACGTTCCCGCACGACCGCCGGTAGCTCCGCGCGCGCGCGGCACAGCTGCCCGCCGCGACCACGGACACGTGCGCCCTCGGCGGCAGGCGGCCGGCTTAGTCCGCGGGCAGGCCGCGCCAGCCGCCGTGCGACACCGCGACGCAGCGGCCGCCCGAGGCCGCGGTGCTCGTCGCCACAAGGGCAGCGATGAAGGCGGCCCTACTTAAGCGCGGTCTCTGCGCACGGCGACAGTCGTCTTCTGCCATCGTCAATCACGTAACCGGCGCGGGAGCCTCGCATCGCGGGCCTTTATAGACATTAAAGGTCTTACAGCGTAGTTCCCATCCACCATCATATTATCCCTGATTCAACCCGATGCCTTGAAGTCCTGATTGAAGAGGTGGGATTTGAATTCTTCTCGTGGGCAGCCGATGCGTCTCGGGCAGCCCGTTTGACCACGAAGGTCATGGACACGTACCTGTCGCATCGCGAGTGGGAGGCGCAGCTGAACCGGCTGCAGTCGCCGGCGCCGCCGCGGGCGCCGGCGCCGCCGCAGGCCTACTACGGCTACGCGCCGGCGCCGCAGCAGCAGCTCGTCCTGAGCAACGCGCCGGCGGCGCCGCCGCCCGCGGACGCGTCGCCCGACCGGTCCACGGCCGAGGCGGCGCGGGAGCGGAGCCGGCGGCGGGCCTGGGGCGCGCCGGGCGGCCACCGCGAGGGCCCCCGCGAGGGCCGCCGCGACAGCCCGCGCGACCGGCGCGAGGCGCTCGAGGACCACGACTTCCACTTCGAGCGGCGCATGGCGAGCCGCGCCGCCGACGCGGCGCGGGAGCAGATCGAGGGCGCGCTCCGGGAAAAACTACAAAACGCCGGCGCGGAGGCGCGCGAGGCCCGGGACCTCGCGCGAAATTTGGAGGCGGAGAACGACGCGCGGAAGCGCGAGCTCGCGGGCTGCGCGAAGGTCGCGAGCTCCCACGAGCTGGCGTTGGATGTGCTACGCCACGACGCCGACGCGCGCCGGGGCTGGTGCACTCGGCGTCTTCTTCCACTTCCTTTTCTGACGAGCAAACCGCCGTAGGCAAACGAAGATGGACGGCGACGTCGCGGACCTGGCCGCGTGGCGGCGCCGCGTCGACGGCGAGCTCGCGAGCCTGCGCCAGTCGCGCGACGACGCGCGGCGCGCGCACGACGAGCTCGCCGAGGACGTGCGGCGGTTGCTGAAGCGCTTGTTCGGCGGCGAGGGCGGCGGCGGGTACGACGGCGGCGAGCTCGTGCAGAGCGCGCAGCTGCAAGCGCACGCGGCGGTGTCCGCGGCGATCGCGCCCGTGCAGGCCCACCTCGAGCGGGAGCTGAGCGTCGTGCGGCGCCACGTCGCGGCGCTGCGGTCCGGCGGCTCCTTTGAGAACGTGCTGCCGGGCGACGTGGAGGACGCGCTGACGGCGGACCGGCCGAGCGAGCTGCTGGTGAAGGGCGTCGTCGCGTCCGCGTGCGCGGACGTGGAGGCGACCCTGGAGAAGAAGCTGACGACGGTGCTGTCCGCGCGCGTGGCCTTGGATTTGGAGGCCAAGGCCAAGGACGTGCAGCGCGACGCGGAGGACCGCGTCTTCGCGCGCGTCCGCGCGGCGGCGACGCGGACGGGCGCTCGGGCCGGGTTGCTCGCGTGCCTCGGCGAGGGCGAGGTCGGCGAGGGCGGCGGGCCCTTCGGCCAGGCGGCGGCGGACGCGGCGGCGGCGCGCACGGCGACCGTCGACGCCGCCGTCGCGGCGACGCGGGAGCACGCCGCGCGGCTCGCGGAGTTGCGCGACGACCTCGAGAAGGCGCGGGCTGACGCGCGCGCGGAGCGGGATCAACGGAGCGCCGCCGTCGAGGCGGCGCGGGCGGACCTGACGAAGCAGGCCGTGGCGGCCATGGCGCGGGCGACGGAGGCGCGCGACGCCGTCGCGTCCTGCCAGTCCTTTGTGGACGCCGCGGAGGCCGCGGCGCGCGCGCGCGGCGACCGCGAGCGGAGCGAGGTGCTCCAGAAGGTCGCCGTCTACGCCGACGAGGCGCGCGTCGACGTCGGGGAGCTGCGGCGGCGCCAGGCGGCGTCGGAGAGCGCGTTGGGGGCTTTGGAGGAGAAGCTCCATTTGGTGAAGGACTCGGCGTCGCGCGCGGTCGAGGACGCGCCGGCGGTGCGGCGCGCCGCGGCCGCGGGCGCGCGCATCGACGCCGCCGAGGAGCAGCTGCTGAAACTGGAGACGCGCCTGGGCAACGTGCTCGAGGTGAAGATCGCCGAGCAGGCGTCCGACGGCGACGGCCGCGACCGGCGCCTCGCGCGGCTCGAGGCGTGGCGCGACGAGCACGGCGGCGGCGGCGCCGAGGGCGCCATCAAGAAGCTCGGCGACGCCGACGAGACGGCGCGCAAGGTGTCGCGGGACGTCGCGCGGCGCGTGTCGGCCCTCGAGGAGCAGCTCGAGCCGCTGCAGCGCCACGCGCGAGACGCGCCCGCGAGCCGTTTGGCGCGCTGCGAGCGCGACGTCGCGGACGCCGCGGCCCGGGCCGACGCGCTGGCGAAGAACGTCGACGAGCAGGCGCTGGCCCACCGGGCCGCCGTGAACGCGGCGTCCAAGGCCGCCGACGGCGCCACCAAAAAGCTCGCGGGCCGCGTCGACGACTTCTCCGAGGCCGTCAACGGCGCGCGGAATCTGCGGATCCGCGTCGACGCGCTCGAGGCGGACCACGGCGAGCTGCGGGCGACGGTGAGCCGCCACCACGGCGACCTGTCCACGTCGTCGCAGCTCGCCTTCGAGCGGAGCGCCAAGGACGCGCGCGTCTTCCAGCGCGACGTCACCAACGACCTCGAGGCCGTCCGCGCGGTCGCCAAGGGCGCGCTCGGCCGCACGGAGCGCGTCCTCGTCGAGCTCGACGCCGTCGCGCGGCGCGTCGACGATTTGGCCGCGGACGTCAAGACGTCGGCGACGCTCGCCGCGCGCGCGGCGGCCGCGCCGCCGGCGCCGCCGGCGCCGGCGCCGGCGCCGCCGGCCGCGCGCGACGACGCCGACGCCGACGAGTCCAAGCCCGTGGTCCGCGTCGTCCTCGCGCGCGAGCGCGCCGGCGGCGTCGCGACGAGCCCGACGGCGAGCGGCGGTGCGACGAGCCCGTCGCTCTCGAAGAGTCCGTCGCCGAGCCGGACGCCGAGCCGGAGGTCCGACAGCGACGAGGACCTCGACGACGTCGAGGACGTGCCCCTCGACGCGGCGCCGGCGCCGGCGCCGGAGAAGCCCCGGGACCCCGTCGTCGTGCGCATGCGGTCGCCGTCGCCCAAGGCGCTGCCGAGCCCCGCGTCGTCGACGTCGAGCCGCGGCCGCCGGTCGCCGCTCGCGCCCCTCGACGGCGCGTCGCCCAAGGCCTTCCCCTCGACGAAGAAGCGGTCGCCCGTGGCGTCCCTGGGCCTGCCGTCGCCCGCGCCGTCGAGCGACTGGGACGCGTCGCTGCCCGCGTCGCCCGCGGCGCCCGCGGACCGCGCGCGCCCGCGCCGCGCCCGCGGCGCCGGTCCAGCGCGGCGGGGGCTTCTCGCCCGAGTCCATCCGCGAGGAGGAGGGCGGCGACGACGACGAGGCGCCGGCGAAGGCCTTCCTCACGGCCCAGCCGACGCCGACGTCGCCGTCGTCGAAGTCGTCCGCGGCGTCGGAGCCGCGCGCCGCGGCCGCGGCCGCGCGCGACGACAGCGACGACGTGTCGGAGATGTCCATCCCGAACCTCGGCGACGTCGAGTCCATCCACAGCGCGCCGTCGTCGACGAAGAGCGACTCGCCGCCGCCGCGGTCCCGGTCGCCCGCGGCCGCGGCCGCGACGCCGCCGCCGCCGGCGGACGACGGCGACTCGGACGCGTCGTCGCCCCTCGTGCTCGGCGCGACGCCGACGAAGCTCGCGCCGAGCCGCCTCGCGCCGCCGTCGGCGAAGAGCGACCTCAGCAGCGTCCTGGACCTCGGCGCGGCGCCCGCGGCGCCCGCGGCGCCCGAGCCGGAGACGCCCGTCAAGCCCCCGGTCCTCGACGGCCCCGTGGCGCCGGCGTCGGCGTCGAGCGACAACAGCTGGGACGCGTCCGAGTCGTCCGACGACGAGCCGGCCGCGCCCGCGCCCGCGCCCGCGGCCGCGGCCGACGACGCGGCCGACGCCGCGGCCGACGACGCGTCCTCCGACGAGACGCCGGCGATCCCGACGCTCGGCGGCGACGCCTCGGACAAGTCCGAGGACTCGGACAGCGACGGGCCCGCGCCGCCGTCGCCCGCGCGGCCCGCGCGCCGCGTCCGGAGCCTCGCGGACGACGCGCCCGCGTCGCCCGCGGCCGACATCCCGGAGATCCCCGAGATGGAGGACACGCTCGACGCGCTCCTCGGCGCGACGGCGAGCCCGAGCCCGCCGCGGGCCGCGCCGAGCGCGCGGTCCTTCGCGCCGCGCGTCGCCGCGCCGCCGCGGCCCGAGTCCGACGGCTCCGTCGACGAGAGCTCCGACGACGGGGACGGCGGCGGCGAGCCGACGACGACGCTGAGCTTCGGCGGCGGCGGCGACTCGTCGGGCGACGAGACGCCGCCCGAGGCCGCGCCCGCCGCGGAGCCCGTCGACTTCCGCTCGCGCTTCCGCTCGCGCTTCTCCTCGGGCCTCGACGCGCAGAAGTCCGTCGTCGGCACGGAGAAGGAGAGCGACGACGACGACTTCGACGACGACTACGGCACGTCCGACTCCGACGCCTAGGCGCGGGCGAAGCGCTCCTCCCCCGGCCGCGTAAGCCGCAGGCCCGTACGTAGGCTGCAACGTCGACGACATTGAAGGGAACGTCTGATCATGGTGACCGCCGCATGATGGGGCTGCCTTCGCTCTAGAAGGATCGATGACCTCGTCGCGGCTCTGCACGGAGAGATGACCTCGGTCGCTGCGCGGGCGGCGACGCAGGACGAGCTCGCCTTTCTCAGCGAGTTCCTGGAGCCGACGACCGGCGACGACAGCTCCGACGAGTCCGATGCGGAGCTCGACTGCAGCGCGCCGGCGCCGCGCTCGCCGCCGCCATCCCGCGGCGGCGGCGTCGCGATGCGCCAGGTGACGCGCGCGGAGCTGCGCTACGTGCTCGACGACGCCGCGGCGCCGGAGCCGGAGCGCGCGTGGTCCGGAGAGGCCGAGGAGCTGTCGGACGACGACGACGGCGGCGGCGACGGTCCGGCACTCGCCGCGTCGTGCTGCCGCCTCGCGGCGCCGCGGCGCTGGCTCGCCGCCGTCGCGCTCGCGCTCGGCGTCAGCGCCGCGGCGCCTCCGGAGCCGCCGGTGGACGCGGCGCTCCTCGCGCGGCTCGAGGCGTCGACGACTGAGAGGATCAACCTGACGCTCGGGGCCGGTGACTACGTCGCGTCGGGCGCGGCGGCGGCCGTGGACGCGTTCCTGGCGCCGCGCGTCGACTGGGCCGTCGAGCGCGAGCCCTGGGGCGGCCGCGGCGGGCCCCTCGTGCTCGCGCGCGCGCGCGCGGACACGGCCGCCGGGGCCGTCTACCGGGATTTGGCGACGCTCTGGCGCGACGCGCAGTGGTCCGGGGGCTGCGGCCGCGCGCAGAGCCTCGGGGGCAACAACCCCTGGGGCCCCATCGTCGACATTTGGGCGCGGAACGCCTGGGCGGCCTGGAGCCGCGGCGCGACCTTCGTGCCGCCGTCGCTCCGGGGCTGGTACCTCGCGGCGCCGGCCGACGACGCCTTCTGCGCCGGCGCGGCCTCGCAGTGGGCCTGCCACTTCCTGCCGCTCTCGGCCTGCGACGAAATCGCGGAAAGCGGAGAGGACGACGACGCGCGCTTCGTCCGCGTCTTCTCCCGCGGCAACGTCACGGTCTGCCGCGGCGGCTGCGACGACGCGGCGCTCCGGGCCGCGGGCCTCGCGGGGCCGCCGGACCCGCGGCTCGCGGCGATCTTCGCCGCGGCCCGCGGCGCCGTCGACGGCGTCGCGCCCCACGACCTCGTCGGCGCCCTGCTCCAGCGGGGCGTCGCGCTGCGGCCGAGCTACCGCGTGCGGCAACTCGCGCGACCGCCGGCCGTCGAAGGACCCTGCGTCTTCGCGCAGATCCGCCACGGATCAAAGACGTCGCCCCAGTGGCTCGCGCGGCACAAGACGGCGTCGTTCTTCGTCGACCTCGCCGACTACGCGCGGGAGGCGCGCGCGCTCGCGCCGCCGGGGCAAGCGTTTACGCTCTTCGTGGCCACGGACGACGCGGACGCGCTCCGCGACGCGCCGCGCCTCGACGCCGAGGATCTGCGCGTCGTCGCGGCGCCATCGTCATTCGGCGCCGAGTCGAGCGAGGCCTTTTGGACCGGCGGCCGCGCGACGTCGATGCACCGGGGCCCCGCGGAATTGGCGCGCATCCTAGCGACCCTCGAGGCCGCGGCGGCGGCCTGCGGCGGCTTCGTGGGCAACTGCGCTTCCGTCTTCGTGCGCCGCGTCGACGCGGCGCTCCTCGCGCTGCGTCTGGCGCCGTACCGGAGCTTTTCCTTCGGCCCCCGGAGCTGCCTCCTCGACAAGGCGACGGACGCGGCGCTCGGGCGGACCTGCGTCTCGTCGTGCCGCAACGCCACGGCTTGCGCGCTGGCCGGGCCCGGCCCGCGCGCGTGCGCGCCGGCGCCGGCGCCCCTGGCCGGGCCGGGGCGCTTCAATGCCAGGGCGGCGGCGCTCGGGCTCGACGTCGCGGCGCGGCGCCTCTCCGACGCGCCCCGCGTCGGCCGCGGCCACTCGACGAACCCGAAGGAGCGGCGGAAGCGGAGCCACGAGAAGGCGCTGCCGCCTCCGCCGCCCTGGCTCGACCCGCGCGCCGTCGCCGGGCCGCTCTTCTCGCCGCTCAACGCCACGGAGGTCTGCGCGGTCAAGGAGGTGCGGAAGCGTCCGGGCCTCCCCGGCTGCGAAAAGGGCGGGCCGTTCTCGGCGTACCCGCGGGCCTTTGTCGCGCCGGGCGACGCCTACGGCGCGCGGCCCGTCGTCGGCGACGACCGCTGGCTCGCGCGCGCGCTCTCCGAGGCGCGGCGGAACGCGTCGCGCGTCTTCCGCGTGCTCGTCGTCGGCGGGTCGCCCGCGGCCGGCGAGGGCTGCGTCGACGCGCCCGTCGTCTCGCCGCGCTACGCCTACGCGAAAGCGCCCAAGACGCACGGGTCGAGCTCCGAGTGCTCCTGGGCGTCGCGCCTCGCGCGCTACCTCGAAGCGTTGCTGTTGCCCCGGGGGAACTTCAGAATCGCCAACGTCGCGCGCGGCGGCGCGTCGAGCGCCTACTTCCTCGCCGGCGCCGACGCGCTGTTCCGGCGGCCGGCGGACCTGCTCCCGAAAGGGACCTCAACACCGCCGCTCGCCGACGACGTCGATTTGGTGTTGCTGGCGTTCACGGCCAACGACTTCGCCCTGGGCTGCGCCGAGCCGGCGACGTGCTTCGGCGCGCCGGCCGCGCGGGGGCTGGGCGCCTACTTCCGCCGGGGCCGCGCGGGCGGCGCGCCGACGGTCGCCTTCGTGGACACGGCCCTCCAGCGGGTCTCGAGGACGCCCGAGAACCTCACGCGCGCGGACTTTTCCGAGCGCCACCGCGCGCTCGCGCGCGCGGTAGCGGCGCCGCTCGTCGAGAGCATGTTCTGGAACGGCGGCACGTTCCGGGACGAAGCGGAGCAGCGCAGGGCCGCGGCGTTCCTGAACGCCTACCTGGCGCCGGCGCTCCGCGTCGCCCTCGATGCCATGATGGGACCCGCGTCCTGGAAGGGCTTTGGGCATTACGGCGCGGCCTACCACGAGTGGGTCGCCGCGACGGTCTTCTACGCGCTCGTCGCGCCCGCGGCGGAGCGAGAGCACGGGGCGGCGGAGGCGGAAGCGGCCCCCGCGGCGGCGCCCGCGGCGGCGGCGCCGCGGGCCTGCGGCGGCGACGGCGACGCGCTCGCGCTCTGCCACCTCGCGAACGAGGGCGCGGCGTCGTCGCTCGTCTTCGACGCGGGGCCGAACCGCGAGGCGCTCGTCGGTTCGCCCGACGGCTGGCTCCACGGCGAGGACGTGCCGGGCAAGAGCGGCTGGGTGGCCTGCGACGGCGGCGGGGCGGCAATATCGTTCCGCGTCGAGTGCGCGGCGGGCGACGTCGTCGTCGGCTTCCTGCAGAGCCACGACCGGCGCATGGGCGTCGCGAACGTGACCGTGGCGCAGGGCGCGGCGGTGCGCAGTTTTTTGGTTGCGTCCTGGGACCGGCGGCCCCGGTCCGTCTACGCGACGAAGGCGCTCACGGGCCTCGCGGCCGGCGAAACCGTCGTGTCCCTCCGCGTGCTCGACCGGAACCAGCACGCGGGACCGGCGGGGAACGCGTCCTGCCCCACGTTCCTCGCCGCGCCGGACTGCTGCCACCGCGACAAGTTCAAGCTATTGAGCCTCGCGTGCACCTAAGCTTAGCTAATTAGCGGCGCATGCCAGGCCTCATGCCATGCCTCGGCGCATTCAACTTGAACTTCAACATGTGAGGCATCAACATCCATATATAGATGCGTGAGTTGTGCGTGCCGGTTCCCCCGCCGTACGGAAATTAAATGGCTGTCGTCGCGCGAGCGGTGCAGAGGGAAGCATTGACACGGGAATGAGTGGCTCAGCTCGCGCGAGCGCGCCCGAAGGGCGCGCTCTCGCCGCGCCGCAGGCAAGCCCCCCCGCAGGGGCAAGATGCCGTAGGCGTCTTGTTTTCAAGCCACGCACGAGCACGGGCTCGCAACAACCCGAGCTCAAAGCCGATCCCGCGCGTCGGGCCGCGCGAAGCTCGCAGTTCTCGACATGGCGCGGCTCGTGTTCCTGCTGCTCGCGTCGGCGCGCGCGTTGAGCACGTTGCGGGCGCCGCGCGGCGCGGCGACGGCGCCCGCGCCCTCGAACAGCCAAGGGAAGCGCAAATCCTGGCTCGCCCGCCACGCGCCGGTCGTGCCCCGGCGCGAGGGCAAGGTCGAGAAGCTCTACCGCGCCGCGGGCCTCTCGCTACTGCTCGTCCCCGCGGCGACCAGGCCCGACGCGGCGCTGCGCTGGGCCGCGGCCTTCGCCGCCTGCGCGTCGTTGGGCCCGGGCGCGTCGGCGACGTCGAAGCGCGGACGCGCCGCGGAGCTCGCGGGCCTCGCGCTCTTCCCCTGGAGCGCGCCCGCCGGCGCGGCGGTCCTCGCGGCGCGGCGCCTCGGGTCCCGCCGGCCGCGGGCCCGCCACGTCGCGCTCCTCGCGGCCGCGGCCGCGGCGGCGACGGGATCTCTCGAGCTCCCGGCCAAGTGGGTCCTCGCGGCGGCCGTCGCGCTCACGTCCCTCGCGGACCGCGCGGACCGCGTCGCCGGGCGCGACGCGTTCCCGGCGCCGGCGGAGGCCGACGCGGCGACGGCGGCCCTCTCGGCGTCCGCGGTCCTCGAGCGCCCGGGCGCCGCGGCCGGGGCCGCCGAGGCCGCCGCGGCGGTCGAGGACGACGCCGACGCCGAGGCGACGGCGGCCGCGGAGGCCGCCGCGGAGGCGGAGGCCGCCGCGGAAGAGGCTGCGGCGGAAGCTGAGGCTGCCGCGGAAGAGGCTGCGGCGGAGGCGAAGGCTGCGGCGGAAGCTGAGGCTGCTGCGGAAGTGGAAGCTGCCGCGGAGGCGAAGGCTGCGGCGGAAGAGGCTGCGGCGGAGGCGAAGGCTGCGGCGGAAGCGGAGGCTGCGGCGGAAGCGGAAGCTGCGGAGGCGAAGGCTGCGGCGGAAGAGGCTGCGGCGGAGGCGAAGGCTGCCGCGGAAGAGGCTGCGGCGGAAGCGGAAGCCGCGGAGGCGAAGGCCGCGGCGGAAGCGGAGGCCGCGGCGGAGGCGAAGGCCGCGGAGGCCGCCAAGTTCGTCGAGGCGGCCGCCGCGGCCCTGGCGGCGAATCGCGAGGCGGAAGAGGCGCTGCTCGCGGCGGAGGTGCGGGAGGCCGAGCGGCTCGAGGCCGCGCGGGTCGAAGTCGCTCGACGCCGGGTCGAGGAGGACGCGTGGGTCGAGGCCGCGCGCGTCGAAGCCGCGGCCGCCGCGGAGGCCAAGGCCGCCGCGGAAGCGGAGGCCGCCGCCGCCGAGGCCGCGCGCCGGGCGGCCGTCGTCGGGACCTGGCGCACGGACCTCGGCGACCTCGTGCTCCGCGAGTCGGGCGCCGCGGACGCGGCCCCGTCGCTCGGCGTGTCGGGATCCTGGACCTTGGACGACGGCGACCTGCGCGTGGACCTCGGCGTGCACCGCGTGACGCCCAGGGGCCGCTTCGGAGGTACGGCGCCGGCGTCGATCCGCGCGCCCGCGGGCCGCGACGCCGCCGACGCGACGCTGACGACGTCGCTCCTCGGCTACGACGTCGCGATCCCCTTCCCCCTCCGGCGAGCGGAGCCCCCCGCGGCCGCGCCGCCCGGCGAGATCGACCGGCCCGAGGGCGCCGTCCGGGAGCTCGCCGCGGAGGAGGCCCCCGCGCTCGCCGCGTCCAGGTAGGCGACGTCACGGCGCCGCGGCCGTCGTAATGTGTGTGCATAGAGACCAGGCCCGAATTACAAGGTGGGGCGGGGCGCGCGGGGGCCTAGGCGGCCTTCGTCGCCTTCTTGCCGCGCTTCTTCTCCTGCTTCTTCTCCTTCTTTCCCTGCTTGAACCAGGGGACGCCGTCGTGGTAGTCCCAGGCCTCCTGCGTGAGGTGCGCGAGGTAGAGCGCGACGTGGATGGGCACGAGGTAGGGGTGGGCGTTGCGGACCTGGGGCACGACGTGGACGCCGAGGAGCGCGACGACCTGGCCGAGGATCATGGGGTGCGGGATCACGTTGTAGGGGAACCGCGTCACGAACTTGTAGTCCGCCTCGACGACGCCGAGCTCGATGCCGAAGTAGGTCCCGTCGACGCCGAGCGCCGACGTCGCCGCGATGGACACGAAGTAGCCCGCGGCGACGAGCACGAGCGACTCGGGCCGGAACCAGGGCTCCGCGCCGCAGGCCGCGCGCGCGTCACCGTCCCAGAGCGGCGCCGCGTAGAGCCGGAAGAGCTGGAGGAGCGCCACGGTCTTGAAGAAGAGGACGTCGCGCTTGAAGGTGCCGAAGGCGACGCCCGCGCGCGTGTAGTACGTCGACATGTAGCGGAGGTAGTGGAGGAACCTGGGCAGGAAAAGGGTGCGAAATTCCCAACTTCAAAGGCTCCTCTCTCGGTCGTTTTCCGCTCGTTTCGGCTGATTTTTGGACGAGCGATCATCTCTCGGAGCCCTCTCGACGCGTGGATGCTTTTTCGGGAACGCGCGCGCGCGGAACCCTCACGTTGAAGCGACGTTGAATCACTCTTTTCCTGCCCCGGGAGGAACTGCGTGCCGTAGAGGAACAAGGCGTAGGACTCGACGGCGTAGGCGACGGCCGCGAGCGTGCCGTAGCTCGCGAGGTTCGAGAAGCCGACGTACTTCTCCAGGGCGTTGTAGGCGACCGTCGTGCCGTTGACGCCCACGTCCGCGAGGAGCTTCTCGAGCGCCGACTGGGGCTTGATCGTCGCGAGGAAGAGCGCGCGGAAGGCCTCGTTGTACTTCGTCGAGAGCCAGTGGAGGCCCTTGCCGAAGCACCACCACAGACCCGTCGGCGCGACGGCGTAGTGGAGCTTCAGCACCATGCGCCACTTCTGCGTGGGATCCGCCGCGAGCGCCGCCTCGCTCTCGGGGCCGAACGCGCCCCGGGGCTTCATCGTGATGTAGTGGGACTCGCGGTGGAAGTCGAAGGCCAAAATGTCGCCGTGCTCCGCGGCGACGCTCCGGTGCGCGTTCGGGAAGTGGGTCTCGTAGCCCGGCACGTTCGCGTCGAGCGCGACGATGCACCGGAAGACGCTCGCAAAGGGGAAGAAGCAGTAGGGCCCGTCGACGTGCTCCGTGAAGAAGACGTCGTCGGACGTCTTCGCCGCCTCGTCGCGCTTCACGGGCGCGGACACGTAGAGCTCGTTCATGCCGCTCACCGGTTCTATCACGTACGCGCCCTCGCCGAATTTCTGGCGGAAGAGGCCGTCGACGCACTCGGACGTCACGAGGCGCTCGAAGGCCGCGCGCGTCGGTTCGTCCAAATCGCCGGCCCACCAGTGGCTCGTCATGTCGTGCTTCGGCCCGGCGGCGACGCACCACCGGCGGATCGCGGCGAGGTCTCCGACGTCCTCTTCCGTCCGGAATTTGCCGACCAGCAGCCGCGACTTCTTCGCCGTCCACGGCAGGCCCAGCACGCTGTCGCTGTCGATGCAGACGTTGCCCCAGGCGAGGACGACGGCGGGCAGCGCCGCGACGACCGTCTTCGCGGCCTCGGACGCGCTCGCGAGAATCAGCGGCAGCAAGTAGAAGACGTGCTCGCAGAAGAGCTCGACGACCGCGGCCGCCGAGAGCCCGCCACCGGCCCAGGAGTTGGCCTGGAGCGTCTCCTCGCCGTAGTACCAGTGGCTCAGGTCCTGGAGCGCGTAGCCCGCGGCGACGCAGCCCAGGGACGCGGCGACGCCGAGGTCGAGGCGGCAGGCCACGATCGCCACGGACGCGAGCGCCGCCGCGCTCCGCGCCGCGAGGCCCAGGGGCACGTCGGAGCAGAGGAGTGCCAGGCCCCAGAGTACCCAGAGGCCGAAGGCGCCGCCCCGGGCGAGGCTCTGGCGGCCCCCACACCCGAGCGACGTCGACGCCGCGCAGGCGAGCTTCGTGACGAGGCCCGCGGCGCCGAGGAGCCCCAGGAGCGACGTCAGCAGGTGGAAGTTGACGTTCATGGACGACAGGTGGTACGCCGCGAACTTGGGCTCGACGGCGGCGAAGGAGACGGCCATGGTGCGCGTAAAAACTGTCGACGAGCGCCGAGCAGCCGTGCCACCTCGTATAAATGCTACCTTAAGGTATGGAATTAACACAGCGAAGGTGCTTGAGGCAAACACTGGCTTGTGGCCCTGTGCGGCAGTCCTTGGTCCGAGGAGGCCGTCTGCGACGATCGAAGATCAGCCCGGAGCCTGCCCGGCTCGACCCCCGGGGGGCTGCCTGTGCGGCCGATTTAAGCGTCCTCCTCCTCCGTGCAGGGGTCGCCCTCGGGCACGGCCCAGCAGGGCGGGAGGCACGGGTCCGGGCAGTCGGGCACGGGCGGGCAGCCCGTGCCCGGCGCGAAGGCCCCCTCGAAGGCGTCGAGGATGAGCGCGCGGTCCGTCGGCGGGAGGGGGGGCTGCGCCGTCGCGTTGCCGACGATGGTCTCGAAGAAGCACTGGATCCAGCAGGGCGCGCTCTGGTCCTTCGGGTCGTCGCAGCCGTCGAAGCAGGCGCCGCCGCGCTGGGCGACGATCTTGGAGATCATGCGGTCGTTGACGCACGTCGCGTTGACCTGCGCCGTTTGATTGACGACGCGCCAGAAGCAGCCCTCGCCGACGGTCTCGCCCGGCGCGCACTCGCCGGCCTTCTGCGTGGAGAACCACGTGCCGTTCATCATGTCCGAGAGCGTCATGGACGCCGACTCGACGAAGTTCACGAGGCCGTCGCCCGAGAACCACCCGGAGGCGGAGGCGCGGTCCGGCACGAGGTCGCGGCTGTCCGCGTGGCCGTGGATGGCGCAGGTGCCGCTGCCGCCGTACCCGTCGCCGGCGTCCGCCGCCGTGAACGAGTAGGAGCCGCACCGCTCCCAGCCGTGCTCCGCGGCGGCGCACGCGGCGCAGCAGTCCGCGAGCGAGACGTTGTCGAGCGTCTTGAACGCCGTCTTGTTGTTGCGGTAGCCCTCGATGGGGTAGAAGTCGGCGTAGCAGATCTCGGGATAGCCCGCCGGCGGCAGGGGCTTGCCGAACTTCGGGAATTCGCGGCCGACGCTCAACGTCTCGACGGCGTCGCAGCGACACTCCTGTTCGTCGCAGAGCCCCTGGAACTCCGACGCCCACTCGGGGTGCCTACGCGCGCGTGAAGCGTCGACGCGAGCGTCCGGCCGCGCGCGCGCGGACGAGGCGACGACGGACGGGGATGCCGGATGGACGCGGGAGACGCTGACTTGTCGTTCTTGTTCCAGCAGCCCTCGGGGCCGTCGTGGTGCCAGTGCGTGCAGTTGAAGGCGTGCGGCAGCGACTTGGCCGGGTTGCACTCGGCGTAGTCCTGAGGTGGCATCAGTGTTTCTCGTTTTTTTGCATGGTTTCGCGGACGCGGGCCCGCGTACGCCGTACCGGTCGTCCATCTCGACCTCGACGGCGATGTAGACGTTGAAGCCGGGGATTTGCAGCAGCGCGTCGTTCTCGCACAGGATGTTCTCCGCGTGGCGCGGATTGAGCTTCGCATCGCAGACGACGGGCGCGCTCTTCTCGTAGAGGCCAAAGTGGGCGTCGCCGGCGGCATCGCCGGTGTCGAGGTCCGTCACGCCCGTGTAGTTGCGCGGCGTGATGCGGTACAGCGTCTCGCGCACGACCTTGGCCTCGGCGAGGAGCGCGAGCGCGGCGGCGCGGAGCATCATCATTTGGCAGGGATCGATCGGCGAGAACTGGCGAGAACTGGGCTGCCGCCGAAACCCCTTCAGCTTCTTCAAGTTTAGGTTTTTCAACGCAGCCCGCTGGGAACGTCGAGCATGGCAGGATCGCGCCTCCGCAGGTGACCTCTGACGCGAACGACCATGACCGACGCGCTCGACGCCTGGTACGACTCCCTGGCGCGCTGCGCCGGCTGCGTCTGCGTCGCCGACGAGGACGCGGAGGATCCGCCGGACCCGCGGACGCCGGAGTTCACGGTGCTGCGGCGCGAGGCGGCGACCGTGGCGCCGACGCTGAGCATGCTCTTGGAGGCGGCGGACGCGGGCGACATCGCCACGGTCCGCGCCATCGTCGGCGCCGGCGGCCTCGACCTCGACGCGGCGGACGACGTCGACTCGTACAGCGCGCTCCTGACGGCCGCCGAGGCGGGCCACGCCGACGTCGTCGGCGCGCTCCTCGACGCCGGCGCCTCCGTGGACGCGCCGCGCGACAGCTACGGGCGGACGCCGCTCTGCGCCGCGGCCGTCGCGGGCCGCGCGGACGTCGTCGAGCGCCTCGTCGCCGCGGGCGCGGACGTCGACGCCGCGGACGGCGACGGCCGCAGCGTGCTCTGGGCGACGTGCGCCCTGCGGCACCTCGACGTCGCGGCCATCCTCGCGCGCGGCGCCTGCGACGTCGACGCCGCCGACGCCGACGGCGACACCGCGCTCGACTTCGCGGTCAAGCACGGCCACGCGGACGTCGCCGACTTCCTGCGCCGGCGCGGCGCCGCGGACCGGAACGCCGGAAGACTGTCCCTCAGCTCCTCCTCCAACGGGGGGACGAGCCCGTAGTAGAAAGACCGCGCGCGCTTCAACGACGGGGGCAACGAGGCGGTTTGAGGTCGCGATGGGCTGCCCCGCCATTACGATGCGACTGCTCGTCGTCGTCGCCGCGGCCCGCGGCGCGGTCTTCAACGAGTCGTCGCGGCGCCACTGCACGGAAGCGGAGCTCGAACACCTGCGCACGGACAAGAACGCGGAGCTCCACGAGGTGCTCTCCGCCGTCCACGGGCCGCGCTGCGGCGGCTTCTTCATCGAGTCCGGCGCGAACAACGGCCGCAACTCCGTGACGCGCAACTTCGAGGGCGCGGGCTGGCGCGGCATCTGCGTCGAGCCGTCGCCCGTGCTCTTCCAGCTGCTGCAGCGGTACCGGCCGCTCTGCGAGAACCACAACGTCGCGCTCTTCGGCGAGCGGAGGGAGATGGTCTACCGGGAGCGCGGCGCGGCGTTCTCCCGAAGCGGCGCGCATGCATTCCAACGGGCTTCACCGCAGGTACGGCGGCGCGCTCAAGGACCACAGCGGCCTCGAGGAGATGCGGACGCCCAAGCTCTGGGCGAAGATGGAGGCCGCGCACCCGAACGCGAGCCGCCGCGACCACACGATCCTCGCGCGGCCCGTCGACGACGTCCTCGGCGGCGCCCGGAACCACGTGGACCTCTATTCTTTGGACGTCGAGGGCGCGGAGCTGAGCATCCTCGAGCACTTCCCCTTCGACAAAATCGTCGTCGAGCTCTGGTTCGTCGAGACGAACAAGCTCGACCGCGTCGCGTTCGTGGCGTTCATGGAGTCGAAGGGCTACTCGTGCCACCACTACGACCACGTCAACTCGCTCTGCCAGCTCAACAAGCACCGCTTCGGCCACCACGGCACGCCCCCGGCGTAACGCAAAACCTAGAGGTCGAGCAGGGCGAGGTCCTGGAGCGACACGCCGAGCGCGCCGCTCTCCGCGTAGGGGAGGAACTGCTCCGCGAGGTCGCAGAGGTAGCGGAGGCGCCGGAAGGACCGGCGGTACTCGCCCTGGTTGACGTCCTTGGGGTCCGCGGCCGCGCGGCGCTTGTAGGCTTTGGGCGTCTCGTCGACGAGGCGGTAGGCGAAGCACCAGCGCACGTAGTCGAGCGCCGCGAGCATGAAGAGGCGCCGCGTCTCCGGGTAGGGCCAGGGCGCCGCGGCCCGGAGCTCGGGCTCGAGCTCCTCGACGAGCGCGTAGTGGTAGAGCCAGAGCGCGTCGTCGAAGTCCTTGACGAAGTCGTCGGCCGCCGTCGTCGCGAGGAAGTAGACGACGTCGTGGAGGCCGCAGCCCCAGCCGCACCACTGCCAGTCGATGGCGAAGACGCGCCGCGTCGCGTCCTCGACGAAGAGGTTGCCGGCCTTGAAGTCGCCGTGGACGAGCGTCCGCCGGGGCCCGCACGCGTCGGCGATCCAGCCGTCGACGCGGCGCGCCTGCGCGGCGAGGCGCGCGCCGAAGTCGTTCGGCGGCACGCGGAACCGCTTCTCGTCGCAGAAGGCCAGGAGCCACCTGTCGTAGCCGCGCTCCAAACCCTCGACCTCGCCGGGGGGGCGGTGCGCGAGCGGCGTGTGGCCGCCGAGGGGCCAGATGCCCAGGTCGCCGAAGCCCGACGCCGCGAGGCGGTGGCCGAAGGCGTGGAAGCGCGCGAGCCAGCGCAGGGCCTGGACGCAGTGCTCCGCCGGGAGCGTCGGCCGCTGCGCGAAGGCGGGAGGCAGCAGGGCCTCGAGCGCGACGAGGTAGCGGTCGCCGTCGGTCTCGTAGGCGAGCACGCGCGGCGTCCAGATGCGCGCGGCCGCGAAGACGCCGCTCAGGTCGCGGAGCACGGCGAGCTCGTTCGCGTAGGAGCCGACCGTCCGGGCCCGCGCGGCCGCCGACGCACCGCGGCACTCGCGCGCGTCGACGTACTTGACGACGCAGAACGCCGGCCGGCAGGGCGGCAGGTCCGGCGCGGCGGGCACGGCCGGCGCCGGCGGCGCCGCCGGCGCCGGCGCGGGCCGCGCGGGCGGCGCCGCGCGCGGCGACCCGCCGCCGTAGAGCCCCGCGACCCACGACGCCGCGGCGTCGTCCGCGGCGGCCGCGGGCGCGGCGGCCGCGGGCGCGGGCCCGCCGGGCGAGCCCTCGGCGCACGGCGGCGCGCCGCAGGCGCCGTCGAAGTCGTCCGCGTAGGACGCCTCGTCGTCGTCACCGTCGTCGCCGTCGCCGGCGGCCGCGGCGCCGTCGTCGCCGTCGCCGTCCCCCGCGGCGGCCGCGTCGCCGTCCCCGGGGGCGTCGGGCACGGGGTACAGGGCTGCGAGGTCGGCGCCGTAGGTCCGCGGCGGCAAGGGCTCGCCGGCGTCCGCGAGGCGCGCGCGTTCCCGCTCCTCCGCGTCGAGGTCCGCGGCCTCGCGCGCGGCGTCCTCCGCCCAGCGCCGCGCGCGGAGCGTCATCTCCTCGAGCGCCTCGTCGGCGGCGGCCGCCGCGGCGTCGCCGAGGTCGTAGGCGTCGACGGCGTGGTACCGCTCCGAGGGCGTGACCGGCGGCACGGGCCCGCGCCACGCTTTGGGCCCGGGCTCCGCGGGCGCCGCCGGCCGCCGCCGCCGGAGCTCGCGCGCCTCGAGCTCGTCGGCCTGGCCCTTGAGGTCCCAGAGCACGTCGCGCGGGAGGAGCGCGAGGCTCGGCAAGACGCCGACCTCGGGCGGCAGCGGCGCCTCCGCGCGCGCGCGCGCGGCCTCGGCGTTCCGCGCGCGGCGCCGCTCCGCGGCGCTCGGCGGCGCCGGCGCCGGCCGGCCCCCGCGCCAGAGCAGGCCCACGGTCGCGACCGTCGCGCCCGAGTAGTCCATGGTGCGCGCCGTCGCGGGCACGGCCCCGATGAGCTCGGGCCCGAGGAGGAGGCGCAGCGCCTCGAGGCTCGACGGGTCCGCGCCGGCGGCGACGGCGTCGAGCGCCGCGCGCTTCGGCGCGGGCCGCGGGCCCGCAGCGACGAGCGCCGGCCGCGCGCGGGGGCGCGCGGCCTGCGCCTCGTCGAGCGCGTCCTCGAGGCGCACGAGCGACTCGGGCACCTCGATGGCCCGCGGCGCCGCCGGCGCCGGCGCGGCCGCCGCGGCGGCGCCCGCGGGCGGCGCGTCCGCCGCGGCGGCGCCCTCGGGCGGCGCGGCGGCCGCGGCGGCGCCCTCGTGCGGCGCGGCGGCGCCCGCCGCCGGCGCCTCGGCCGCGGGCGCCTCGCTCGGGTCGTCCGGCGCGCGCCGCGGCCGCGCCGCGCCCGCGGCGTACGTCGTCGCCGGCGCGTCGCCGCCGCGCCGCGCCGCCGCGAGCTTGGACCGCAGCTCGTCGCCGATGAGCGCCGCGGCCGGCGCCAGCGCCGCGTCCTTCGCCGCCGCGCGCTGGTGAGCGCGATGCCCTCGCGGA